AAGCCAGGGGAGTTGGGGTTTGATAAGATACTAAGATTTACACCAAGGTTATGGTCAGATGTTGGTCTAGGAGAAAACAAGTTCAGGTGCAGTCTCAGGGTTCCCGAGATAACAAGAAGCGTTGTGGGTTGTGCAAAGTGTCTGTTTCAGGACAAGGTTGCACCAAGGACGAAACCGGACAAGTACTGAGGGACCAATGGTGGGAGAGTTAAGTCTAAACCACAGCTTCTCCCCAACAGTTTTGGACCAATCAGATAGTAGCACCTTTTCATACAAATATTGTATACCGACAAGTTGAGGACAGTCTTTTCTGTTTATCCTAAACAGTGAAGATCCATGTGCACATGCTAATTTTGATACGTTAATGCATAATAAATTTCACACAGTGAAATATCCTTTTATTAGTCTTCTCTTTTCAAAATAAAACAACACGCCTCACAGTCGTCACAGCGAATCATCTGTTTCCACCTAACTCTATCCTCGGCATCCTCTACTCTCACACCAATTAACTTCATGTCCTCTTTTAGCACATCCATATATCTCCTCTTTGGCCTTCCTCTTGACCTCTTGCCTGGCAGCTCCATCTCCAACATCCTTCTACCAATATAACCACTATCCCTCCTCTGCACATGTCCAAACCATCTCAATCTGGCCTCTCTGACCTTGTCCCCAAAACAGCAGACCTGAACTATGTGCTCATTCCTAATCCTGTCCATCCTGGTCACTCCTAAAGAGAACCTCAACATCTTCATCTCTGCTACCTCCATCTCTGCCTCTTGTCTTTTCCTCACTGCTACAGTCTCTAATCCATACAGCATAGCTGGTCTCACTACTGTCTTGTACACCTTTCCTTTGATTCTTGCTGCCACTCTTCTGTCACACCACACCTTTCTCCACCCACTCCAACCTGCCTGCACTCGCCTCTTCACCTCTTTCTTATACTCCCCATCACACTGGACTGTTGACCCCAAATACTTAAAATGGTCTTACTGCATCAAGCAGGGGTGGCACAAAGTGGTGCATCTGCCTCCAGAGGGGTTCAAACGGCTGCCGATTCTCTGTCTGTGGGTCTAGTGGGTACCGAATAAAGTTGTTAAATTTCAGGTACACCTCTGATGCATTATCTTCATTCTCTTTCTCGTTGCCATAAAAGGGCTCATGGTCCTGGGGAAAGTTTTGGTAGTAGTACGGATTGTGCTGCTAGAAGGCAGTAATGAGACAGACAAATGGGTCTGCACAAACAGGAACTTGGTGTAGTACTTCAGCTTTGCCTGTAGTCAACAATAAGAACACATCAAACCTCTGTCACACTAACCCTGTTCTGACTGCAGAGGTGGAACGTAACTAAATACATATACTCAAGTACTGTACTTGATTACAATTTCGAGGTATCTGTACTTGAGTATTTTTATTTTTGTTACTTCATACTTCATTTTAGAGGCAAATATTGCACTTTTTACTCTGCAACATTTATTTGATTACTTTAGTTACTTTTCAGAATTTGATTTTTAAAACATGAAATACAGTATAATCATAAGGGTTTATTGATCCTCCAAGCTACCCAGCAGTAATTCAGATGATAATCATATAAGGTTGCTAAAATGACCTCCACTTTTACCAGCTGTAATATTAATGTGTAAAATAATGTGTCAGTAATTACAATCTAATAATATGATATCGGCCTACATTCATGTGAAATGTGGCATTCTGTATTACGAGGGTAAAGGTCAAAGAAAGAGCTAAGTGAGTTAGATTATCATTTTAGGATCCCATTTATTAATAATTAATATTAAGTAATACTTGTTTTACTTATAACTAATAGTTTTCTGTCTTGAGGCCTAAGACTGTATACTGAGTGTGTGTGACTGTTAAGTTGACATGACATTGTAACTTGACCCATATTTCTTTATCAGAAGAGTGCCATGCTGTAATAGCAATTTTTGGTTTGTTCACATATATTGTTCACTTATCCTTTAAGCTTTAGTCTGTTAATTACTGTGGTGAACTCTGACACACTGAATGTCTGAACTATTTTCTGTTTTCTGCATAACAACAGATGTAACATAATTAGTCCTTGAAAGTATCAGCTCCCTCCATGAGAGCACCTCTCTGTGCCATGGGAAGACAAGGACCTTTGCAAAGGGAGAAACACATGTGTATAACTGTTACCAGTGCAGATTCCTTTTCTCTGATGCTTCCCAACCCTGTGTAAAAGCTTGAGCTCCCTTCGTTCTTCGAGTCTCTGCTGTTGTAAA